CGCGCTGGCGTCAGCGGGCGCACGCGTTGCGATGACCACATCTTTGGACGCACGGCACCCTGTCGAAAATATCATTGACGGGTACGTAGAAAGATAACGCGAAAGGGGATTTCTGGGAGATGGGAAAAAGGGCCCAGGATGTATCTATTGAAGGATTTTTCCTTTGGGTTTTGTGTACCGAGAGATAGAAAGAGATAATACAAAGCTAATTTGACCGCCTTTTTTTGGTTCAGAAACAACAAAACATTTTGGATGACTACCGGCCTGTACCCACAAGAGATTGTGATTAGCCTTCCGGCGCCTGTGGCTGTAACCAAAATTATAGTGACGAGCACAAAAGGTTTTGTGCATAGCAGCAGTCGGGGGGTGGAATGGCCTTAATTTTCGACTGACAAAGAAAGGCTTGTTTGGGAACACAGTTGCGCATTGGACGGCTGACGTGTCCGCACATGAAAAACCACATCATTTTGAGCGGTTGTCTACGCAAGGTGCGTGTGTGCTTGTGTGTGTGTATGCCATGTTGCGTAGTGTGTTTGGAATGAATTCTAACCTAAATTTTTTCCGTCCGTTGCATTAAAAGACGTTGAAGACGGCGATCAAGGACTGCAGATTACAACGCTCGCTCTGCCCAAGTCTGACAACCTAGCGCGGCATGTGCGTCTGGGAGCAACGCGGGGCCATGGACCGTTTGCGTCCGTGCACAAGGTTGCAGTGTACGGAAGCGATCCGGGGCCGATGATGCCGACACCGCCGCCGGCAGCAACTACTACTGCTGCTGCTGCTGCTGCTGCTACTGTTGGTGGAGATCGTAGTGAAAGTGCAGGCGATGCAGTCCCTTGAATCAAATCGTAAAGTAAGGGCCTCTGGGGAGGCTGTCAGAAACGCTTTTGGCGGTGAGGGAGGGGAGCTGCATGCTATATCTAGGTTGCACTCGCACGTCACTCTTGCCCGTTTCTCGTCCGCTCATTTTCTCGTCCGCTCCATCTCCGTGCATCTGCATCCAAAACACACCCTTGGCCCGTCATGTCCTACTTTTCGCAGCAGGACATTGCAAATCTCAAGAAGTATAAATACTCTGGGGTAGACAAGTCCATTCTTTCGCGCTTCGTTGTAAGTTTTCCGTTGCAGAAAGCGGAGCCACGAAAGCACAAGGACCCTTCACCGGTTCCCCGTTCACTGCATTGACCGTGTTTCCATTTGAACCGCAGCTTACACCTTGGTGGAACAACCTCGTCAAAATCTTCCCGCTATGGTTCGCGTACGTGTGATTTCCTAGCTAACCCTGGCAGCTCCGGCCCCATTTCGGACAATTCAGCTCACACTCCGACTTTGTTTCTCTTACCTGCAGACCAAACCTAATCACTTTGACCGGCCTTACGCTCATCGGCCTCAACATCATGACGCTGCTATACTACTCGCCGGATCTCAAGGAACCGTGCCCGAACTGGGTTTACTATTCGTTTTCAATTGGACTTTTTATGTACCAAAGCTTGGACGCGATTGATGGCAAACAGGCGCGGCGGACGGGCACTAGCGGACCTTTGGGCGAGCTTTTCGACCAGTAAGTTTGGGGAGAAACGTGAGCCTCAAAGAATTTGTCTGGACATATACCATGTGTCCGGATCTTCTGACGTTACGGTTTTCGTACAGCGGATGCGATGCGCTGAACACCACTTTGGCAGGCCTGCTGACCGCGTCGGCGCTCAATTTGCACCAGTCGTGGTGGCTCGTAATCAGCATCCTCTCGGCGCTCACCAACTTCTATCTCAGCACGTGGGAAGAGTATCATACGGGCACGCTGTATCTTGGCTACTGCTCGGGTCCCGTTGAGGGTATCATTCTTGTTGTCATCATCTTTGCCGTGACTGGCGCATACGGTAACTCAATCATCCCATCGCCGCGTTGTTCATTGACAAACAGGTTCCTTATACACCTGTCATCTCTTTTTCGTAGGGCCCGCGCTGTGGGACACGCCGATTACCAAGATTGTGGGACACTTGCCGTCCTTCCTTCCCGCGGTGGTGCAAAACGCGAGGCTGAACGAAGTCTTCCTCGCCATGGGCGCAGGTATCCTAATCTTCAACATTGTCGGTAGCGTCGGTAACGTGCACGCCGCATGCAACAAGGCCAGAAAGTCCTACGCGTCAGCGCTTGTGGGTCTGCTCCCCTTTATCGGTTTTGGCTCGGCCGTCGTCGGCTGGTTGACACTCTCGCCCTCGATCCTGACCACCCACCTGGTTCCGTTCACACTGCTCGTTGGCTGCTTGTTTGGCCACCAGGTCGGACAGATGATCGTTGCGCACGTCACGCATCGGCCGTTCCCGTTCTTTGACATGCCATCCATCTTTGTGCTGACACTAGGATCCGCGTCAGCTCTCGTTTTCCGCAACTGGCACGAGACAGATGGCGAGAAGAGCGGGCCGCTCCTCGGTTTGACGTTCCCGCGATCCGTCGCCAAATCGGCCCAGGGTTTACTGCAGCAGGCGTTTGGCCACATTGAGACGGTTGACGATGCGACGTTTGTCGAGGGCGCCGTTGTGCACTTGCTGCTGTGTGTTGCCGTCTTTATGTACCTTCGGTTCGCGCTTGCAGTTATCAACTCGTACTGCGAAGCGTTTGACTGCTACTGCCTGCGCATTAAGAAGAAGTCGGACCAGAAGAAGCGGTCGTAGAGTTAGATTTGCTCGCGGCCATGGCGACGTGTACGCGAGGAGGACAGTTATGGGCTAAAGTGAAGAAAGACTTTTTTCACTGTGACATGATAACCCCCTGCATTTTGTCTGAAAAAAATATCCACACCTGCATAAAATAGCCTTCGCACCTCACGTATACACGCTCATACAAAAATCAAAAACAACAGGAGGGGTTTTTGAAAGTGGTCTCGTATCTTTTACTATTCCATACAAGGCGTGCGTTCATTCGTCCCCCACCCTTGGTCCCCGACCATGCCCCCCGCCCTGTTTTCATATTTACAGGGGAACCTATACAATCCGCTCCAGCTCGCGTGCGTATTCCAGGGTCTGGTGGATGACCTGATCCGCGGGAATGTCGGTTGCGTCAAGGTCCGTTTCGCGGAAGTACACCTTTTTGTCATTTGGGTTGATCTTCCAGCGACGCTATAAAACAAGAACGGGAGGGGGACAAAATGAGCATGAACGTGATATGGACCGTTTCGGTCTCTCCTGCCGTTCAAAATACCTCATTGGCGAACGCCACCACCTCGGCTTCGCTTTTGAAATACAAAAGGGTGGCAGCGTCAGGGAGCGGGAGGCTGTCATACGCCTTTTCGCTGCAGCTGGCAATCTCATCACTGCAGGAGGAAGCGAGATCAGTAAGGAAAAAAAAAGATGATTATACTGCCGCCACCAAAAACGCCCACGAAAACAAGGCGTCGAAAAGTTCCGGCCAGTCTCCCAAGGGGTGCCGTCTTTCAAACCGGCAAAACTGCGCGATTTTTGGGCGGAAAACTGCAAACCGCGAAATTCTCACCGTATCGTGCCGACCAGAATATCAACAAAAAACGCGTACTCCTCCGCAGGTACATTCGCTCGTGAATGCCAGACCTTATTGTAGCTGCCCTCCATCAGACATTGCTCGATCTGAATTGGATGCCTGATGTAGACATTGTCGTTGAGAAGATCCGGATCGATGAGCTCCAGCTCAGTGTGAAACTCAGATATGTTGTTTTGTGCGAGCAGACGGAGAAGATTGAGGCCGAGCAGCGGGTACATGCGTGCCGAGGGTGGGAGGGTGGCGCTGCGAGGGACATTTTTGTGGTCAGATTGAGGACCAAAGACCTTTCTCTTTTGATATAGGGAGAGCGCCATACTTGTAGTCGTTGTAATAAGTCTTCAGCTGGAAGATATAGCGTTCAAACGACGGGATGTCCTTTGCGCGAATGCTCCACTGCGCTCCAGTCTCCAAAACCTCTCCTGCAACAAACAAAGGCGACGAGTCAATTTCAGCGGCTTAAAATCCGCGGCACGCCGCGTATGTGGGCAGTTCCGTGTCTCGTCGCAGAAAGACATACGTGCAAGCAGCAGCTCCTCTGCACTCGCAGCGCGCTCTCCCGGCAACAAGAACGACAGCTCTGTGAGGTAGATCTAAAAAAGGTCCATTGGGTAAGCATACATACGTTCACCCTTACGCCTCGGGTTTGCGCCCGTTCTCTGGCGTCATGTTATTGCTTGAAATCCGCGTCGAGCACCTACCTTCAACTTTGCAAGATACTGGCCGCACTTTGCAATGTCGGCTTTTGGCGACGTGAACTCTTTCTTAAGCTGGTCGTAAAGCGCAAACGCTGCCATTGAAACATGAATCATCAGTTGTGCGGAGACATAGCAGAGAGGGTCTTGAGCGTTATGCGCAATTACCTTCTTTGAGCGGTCCTGTCGTCATGGTAATTTACTTAGGTTCAACGGAGAAAGCGCGGCAAACAGCTTCAGAAAGGTACGGAGCGGTGGCAATGACTAGCGATAACAGGCGGGATGCCGGTCGAGCGCCGTGAAAGAGCAAAGGGATTGCAGATTGCTGCAAATGACAAGGGGAAGGGGTGGTTGGAAAACTGGGACGCGTAACGACATTTACCTTCCCCACCGGACATTTGAGCAAGATGACTTTGCGGTTAGCGGTACTATGTCCGGCGACCCCATCTTGGGCGAAGCAGCGGCAGTTGCTCTGGCGCCAGCAGCAGAGTCACTTACGGCTACTGCGCCTGCGCCTGCAGATCCTGCCGCAACTGCTGGTGCTCCAGCTGCTGCAGACGTCGACCCCTGGCCGCGCTGGCTGCGAGTCCGGGTGTACCCCCTCAGCATGCCCCTAGACGACCCAAACTACGATAACACGGTACCCGTACTGTGCATAAAACCATGTAATACACCACAAAGTTCACTAAAAGGTGGTCTTCTTTGGATGAGTTCCTATACATATGAAAGGAGCGCCCAACGTTTCTTCCAAAAATAGGGTTTGATTATACAATAAAATATGCGATTACGTAAAATGCATCAGTGGTGTAATGGCAACATCGTCGCTTCCCAAGCGGTGGCCCCGGGTTCGATTCCCGGCTGATGCAGGGAGGGGCCGCGTCTCTTTTTTTATTGACTAGACATCTAGTGTGCCTGCTTGCGATGGACGAGGAGATGCCGCGTCTCTCTTTTTGTTGATACCGTTGACGGCGGGCGGTCTCTGTCCAGTTCCCGAAAGCGGAACCCACGTTGAAGAGCCCACGAACGGTAATGCGCTTTTGATGCACCTGATGAAACACGATTAGCAGCTACCCAAGCAGATCTGCAATCACTGTCTCTGTGGGTATGTTCGCCTTAATGCTCCGCATTTGGGCGATGCTGGTCTTTACGCCTTTCTGTTGCACTTGTCCAAGTAGCAGCGGCTTTACAGCTGTATCTACGTAAGAATCCTGTGGTATGATACTACCATCTTGCCAAGGTACGAAACCACAGGTCCTCACTCCTGGCAGGAGTGCCGAGAAAACCTGCCCGGGAAGGTGCAGATACAGCAGTATAGCCGCTGCTACTCGGACAAGTGCGACACAACGCTACCACCTTGGCAAGGGCCGTGACTTCGGTACGAAAGCACAGGTCCTCACCGCTCTCACAAGCTGGCGGTGAAGGAATTTTGAAAATCGACTACTCCGCAACTGGCTGAGTTTCGCAATTCGTCTTGTCAGCAGGAAAAGTACGCCGTCGTTACCTTCAGAGATCGGGATAGCAGTTCCCCAACTGTAGCGCTCAATTTCCGGAAGGGGAGGCAGGTTTAGGAAGTCTACCGGGAGCGTTGAAGCAGCTCTTAGGATTGAGCGCGTTTTGGCGACGTCGTTGGGGAAAGGGGAACGAAAAACGTTTGCCCTCCCTTGCAGCAACGTTCGCATAACAATGGACAAGATATCAAAAAACAACAAAACAACGGTTTATGCAGGTACGCTTGCTTGGTGTTGCGCATTTCAGCGATGCAAAGCACAGGCGCAACGTTCTTGACTATACTAGCATAGAGTGCATTTGTCGTCCGTGCTTACCCTGCATTTTCTTGCTCGCGGCATAGGGGGTCTCGACGACCAGGTCACAGAGCCAATACTCCACGCAGCGTTTCTCCCGTTCGGCGACATTCTCGAGGTGCAAATACCACCGGATCCTTCCTCCCGTAAGAAAAATTATCGACCAGAAAGTCTTGCAATGTTTGCAAACAAGCTGACTGATGCCCTCCCTCTGCAGGAGCCCCTCACCGCGGGTTCGGGTTTATTGAATTCGAGTTTCCCGAAGATGCAGAAGCAGCAATAGAAAACATGGATTGTGCCGAGCTGTACGGCAAAGTTCTCAAAGTCAACCTCGCGCGTCCGATGAAGGCACAATCGTTTGCAACAAAAGCCGTATGGAACGATGAAGAGTGGCTCAAGAAACACGTGGCAGGCGGCACAGAAAAGACTGTCGTGGATGGGGATGAGAGCGCAGCGGTGCAGAGCGATGCGCAGGGAGAGGAAAGAGCAGCCGCTGAGGTGGCGCCGCCGGCGGCAAAGAAAGCAAAGACCTCTGGCGCAACGACAATCACCGGAGGCAACCCGCTCGTGTTTTTCGACATTGAGATTGGTGGAACAAGCGCGGGGCGGATTATAATGCTGCTCCGTGCGGATGTTGTCCCAAGTAAGTCTGGAGACGAATTTTACGTGGACGGGACGTTCATTGTGTTCAGAGCAAAGTTAAAACTGATCCTGTCCGACTCTGCTCAATAGAAACTGCGGAGAACTTTCGGCAATTGTGAGTGTTTTGTCCCTGAAGAGGCTTTTGTGCACAATGGCCACATGCTAACTGACTTTTGGTGTTCGCTTGGCACAGATGCACGCACGAAAAGGGCTTTGGGTTTAAAAAATCCATATTCCATCGCATCATTCCCCAATTCATGTGTCAAGGAGGTAATGTAGTTTCAGACCACCCCATAGAATTATTATTGCCTTTCGCGAAAATTTTGATGCTCATCGGTGCGGGATCGGTTTTACAGGTGACATGACAAAGCACAACGGAACAGGAGGGAAATCAATATATGGTATGCTCGTCTCAAATGCGAAGGTTGTTCCCTGCGGCTGTGACGATGAAACTTAACCGGTTTTTCCTTTAAAGGCAGCAAGTTCGAAGACGAGAACTTTATTTTAAAACACGTTCAATCTGGAGTATGTTATAATTTAATGTGGTTTCCATCGCCGATCGTTTAGCGCTGAATTGCCAGTTGACCGATTGTTTCTCCGCCCTCCACAATCAGACCCTCTCAATGGCGAATTCCGGACCGGGGACGAACGGCTCGCAGTTCTTTATCACGCTTGAAAAGACCAGCTGGCTGGACAATAAGCATGTCGTAAGTTCACGCTCAATTCTGGGCCATAGGGCTGTCTGTACAAGGCAAGTTGCTCATGCTTTGCTTTGCTCCTCTCCGTGCAGGTGTTTGGTGAGGTCACGAGTGGCATGGATGTGGTACGAAAGATGGAGAAGCAGGGGACCCCGTCCGGGTCAGCTAAGAAGCGAGTGGTGATTGCAGATTGTGGGCAGTTGTAAACATTTCAAGAACAACTCAGCAGAAATCGCAGTAGCCCCCATTCAATGGCGTAATACCCTGAGTGAGATATTAAGAATTCAAAAACAATATATTCGGGGTGTACGGGGCTGCCCGCTACAAGCAACAAATGACGACAAAAAAAGTAGAAAAAAATACTATAAAATATGAACGGGGAGTGTAAGGTGTGTGAGATAACAATATTAGCGTCCTTGGTCCTTGCTTTTCCATTCCCTTTCAAATGTCTTGCCGCAAGAAATCCGCCACACGACCGCCCCACGACTTTTTCGTGCGCCGTTGTGGCTGCTGCTGATTGTGCTCCGCACTCGCCAGCCGGGAAGGGCGAAGAAGATGCGGTGGCCGCTGAGCCGTCCCCGCCGCAAAGTCCGAAAGCGACGTAGTGTGGCGGAGAGCTGGTTGCGCTGCGGTGCTGCTACTGCCCGGTGGGAGGGGCACGGGGGTGTTTGGCGCAAACGTGTGGCTGTGACGGTAATGGTGAGTAGGTGCGGTTGCTGCAATATGCGACGGCGGTGGTCCAGTAACCGGGTGTGCGGGTTGCGGTGTCGGTGTCGGCAATGCTGGAGCTGGCACTGCTGCTGCCGCCGCGGGCGCTGCGGCGGGGACCTGGCCCGTCATGCCGAGTGGGGTGATCTGGAATGAGGCACGGAACGATGCGCGGGAATGAAGTGGAGGTGTGATGGCTTTAGGTGCGGTGTCCGGTTGAGGTTGAGGTTGAGGTTGCGGTTCGAATTGGGGCTGCAATTGATGTTGGGGCTGCTGATAAAATGGTTGCTGTGGTTGCTGGTGAGACGGCGGGTTCCCCGCAGCTGGTGAACGCATACTCGGCGGAGGACGCATGCTTGTTATCCGCGGCGGGTGTGGCATCGGCGCTTGGCCCTGAAGGACCGAGGGCACGGGCGCGTGGCTGTATGGGACCGCTGGAATCGGCGTATGGCTTTGAGGAACCAATGGCGTTGACGCCCATGCGGCCGCCTGCGGATCATGGTAGTACATTGTCGCATGATTGTATGCGCCAGAAATTGGCGCATGGCCTCCCTGCTGGCTGTAGTAATAGCTTTCGCCGTACGGAGCGTACGACGACTGATGTGGAGGCGGGGGAGGAGGAGGGACCGCAGAGTATGGCGGCCCGCTCGTCTGACCGCCAAACATGTGCTCGTTCCGCCGCGGGTGGTTTCTGGTCAATCGGACGCTCGCACCAGAAACAAACGACCAAGCAGGGCTGGCCGGACGAGGGGGATAATGGTAGTCATCATCCGGACGAGAGTCAGCGCCACCAGCACCAGCAGCGGCAGGATATCCCACACTGTCACCGCGCTGCGGGTGCGGAGCTTCGCGCGGCAGTGACGCCCAAGGTAGGGAAGCTGCACGGTTCATGCCTGGCCCGCACATCGAAACTGTTCGAGCAGGCCACTGCTCAGCAGCAGGCGGTATCGGGCTGGCGCGCGAATCAAGGTCACCGCCGGCTTCGGAATCAGCCATGTCGGCATACATATCCAGCAGGCTGTGGTCGTTCCCTGCTCCAGTGGCGGTAGAACGCGGACTGTTGCGTATGGTGTCTTGCGCTAGGAGTGGCGTTGTTGGCTTCGCCGGCTCGGCTGCTGCGGCGGGCGCCTTGTATTCGGGCGCCGGGGTAGGAGACGGCAAAACCGAACGGAGGTGCTGCGCATCTGGAGGGTTGTCATTCACAGGTGAGGCACCCATGCGCGGCGTTGCAGGCGTGACCGGCGAGCCATTTACATCCTCCAACGATATAACGCCCGGTGACTCGCTTCTCTCTGAAACCACAGCAGACGGGGTCGGGGTGTGGACCGGAACAGGAGATACAGCTGGCGTTACATCACTGGGAGTAGCAGGCGGAGGAATCGTGCCTGAGGGCACACCAAAGGTGTCTATGGACAAGTTGCGCGGGAGGAATGAGCCGGCCTGCTGCTGTTGCTGTTGCTGCAGCCTCTGCGCGCTCTCCACGCCCTGTAGTGTACGCGAAATCCGTTCGAGTAAATCGTTGATTGGTGGGGATTCCGGTCCTGCGGCGGTATCTTGAGCAGTAGGAACCGGGCTCTGTGCAGCTGCGCCGGCATTTCCAACCATCGGCTCATTCATCGCCGCAGCGAGCGCAGCAGCGATGGGTTCCCTCTGAATTGTTTCCTCATCGTGGTGAGTTACCACCTTCCCTTCATGCGAACTTTCGGGCGTAAGTTCACCATCCTCTTGAAACCGGCGGTACATAGCATCAATATGGGCACGTCGCTCAGTTAGCTCCGCTTCAATGGCATCCTCATCAAACTCGCGGGCATCGACAGGAATCACCTGCCGGCCATTGGACCGATATCCACTAGCACTGCGACCAAGCGACAGCGTTGATCCCGACATATCATCCGCAAGTGTACCGTCGTCGCTCGTACGGCCGGGCTTAGGCTTTGGGCGCGACTCCCGTGATTGCTGATTATCAATCTCCTTGTCGTTTTCTCCCCCCTTCTCAGCGTTACCATCAAAAAGGCT